TATATATATATATTATTGGGTTACTCCATTTGAATTAATAAATATAGATATCTTATAATTAAATATAATTAAAAAATAAAAAATAAATATATAAAATAATAACTACCCATTCAAATTGGGTGGGAGTAGTTTCAACTTGGACTTTATAAATTATCTTAAAATAAAAAAGCAAAAAAAAAAACTATAAAAAAAATGAAAGCAAGAGACGAAAAACGAAATTTAAAAAATTATAAATTAACAATTCAAATTGGGGATTAATTTCAAGTTGGAGTTTTAAAATTATTTTAAAATAAATAAAACTAAAATAAAGACATAAAAAACTTTCAGAAAAAAATATTTAATAATGTAATATGCTAATAAAACTTTCTATTAACAATGTAATAACATTAAATATTAGATGATATAATAAAAAAAAATACATAACAAAAAAAGTTATTCAATGCGCTCCCTGTATAAGTCCCGTTAGTTGAACAGTGATTTTATTCATTAAAATTTATATAATAGTATTAAGAACAATAGATAAAATTTAAAATAAAAAAATATTTCAACAGTAATAAATTATAAATCTTCTCATATATGACAAAAAGAAAGCGAATATTAAATATTGGTTAATATAATAAAAAATATATAGAACAAAAAAGTTATTCACTAACTATATAAGTACCTTTGATTTAATAGAGATTTCATTATTGGGAATATCATATTGACAAGTAAGATAACAACTGAATTTTATTAAAGCAATACAATCTAATATGATCAAACAAACATTATCATAATTTAATTTAATTATTTTTTAATATTGACCGCGCATCGCGCGGGTGCGACTACTAGTATTTTAAGAAAAGAAGGAACCAAAACTAATTTCATTAAATCCCAAAATTACCTATAGTAACCGTATAATAAACCGTTTTATTTTCTATTTTTCGCATGCCAAGAAGAGACTTGTGCTCATCAAGATTCAAAGTACATATGAATACTATAAAATTGTTGATTTCAATTTTTTATAACGCATACACAAATCTAGTGCATAAGTTACGGTATTATATTGTATAATTGTCAATGCATAAATTAAAGAATTGTTAATTACCTTGAAAACAGATGGATTATTAATGTTTGTCTTTCTTTGCACCACCTTCACTATGAAAATTAAGCTTTGGGACTGTGGTGGTGGAAAATCCTCCCCATTGCTGACATTACTACCTTTTCTTCACGGAAGGAATTTTGAGCAAGAATTTCGACTGGAACGATAATAGAAGATAAGGAAAGAATTTACAAAATTACTTAATTTTAGCGTTGCATATAAAATAACGATGATATATGTTCAATAGACAATAAAAGGATTACAATTCCAAAAACACAAACAACAAGGTAATAACGAAGAATACATCGAACGCTAGAAATGTGAGTCAAAACTTGCAAGTAAACAAACATAAAATAAATGACAGACCGCATGAACTAAATTTAAAGAGTAACGATTATTGAAAAAAATATTTCAGACTAAGGAAACGAAAAAAGAAGAGAAAAAGTAATGGAAAATTTTGGAGAAAGAAAGGGAAAAGAGGAGGTGCAATTAAGAGAATTCAAGAAGTGGCTTTTGGATTCCAAATAGCATAGCATCTAAACGGGAAAATTTGAAGGGATAAATAAAAGAAAATGTAAATGTCTTTCATGGTAAATGATGAGAAACGTCTTTGGTAAATAAATGAAGGAAAATCAAATGCCCTCAACTCTGACGGGATTCACTGCATTATGTCTGAAGCATTAAAGTATAACTGTTTCATTTGTAATTCACCGGTTCATTTTTAATCTAATAAAAATGAATTATGTAACACAAAAAAGAAATATTTAATTGAAAGGTTTTTTTTTTCAAGGATAAAATGGTAACTCTAATTTTAAGATAGGAGTGATGTTACATTATAGGCTAGGTAAACTGTAGCTAAATCGAATGCGGAAAAATCAAAGGGATGAAATCCTACACATATTAGCTTAGAGATGATGATGCAATTGCTAATCTGGCAATAATGCAGAATCAAGCAATCAACAAAGCAAAACTATGTATCTATGTAGCTTTGGTGAAGAAGAGAAAAAAGAAGACGACATTAATGGTTTGGCTTATCTGCAATGCCAGATGACTATGGATGTCTCCTCGACCCGAAATGCCAGACAATGAAGGCTGTTGCAAAAGCTTATCTGCAACAGAGAAATTGGAGAAAATAATTATGATGAATGAAAGCAATTGCAAAATAGAGAAAAACTCAAAAGATGTAACCCAAAAAAGCACAGTAAAGAGTTCGATTCTTGTTGCACGTGTATCATAATTATAAAATAACTTACCATGATTTATTGGTTCTACAAGACATGACTTTTACATCCTGTCGTCTCTTCTACTTCCTTTTTAACGTTCAGACTGCAGGCAATCAATATCAGTGTTGGGATATCCACAAAGCTAGAAGGGATCTCTCTAAGCCTGAAATTATCCATAATTAGTTCTCAAGAACGGGGAAGGATGCCTCTATTCTGTCATATAACTTTTGAAATAACTTTTTCTGTTAGGTAAATGCTATGAAGGGACAAATCCTTTAGAATTGAAGGGAAGGTCATGTCACAGCTACCCCATTTATCTAAGAATATATATGTAGGATGATAAAATTTTCAGCCATCCACAATTTTAGCAAAAATGGACACTGAAAATCTGTAGTGCCTTTAAATGATCATAACTTGTTTCTATTATCTTCATGCTTTGTTCTTCTAATAACAACTGCAATAACGCAGTTTAATCGACTTCAGTGTTGGAATATCAACAAAGCTAGAAGGGATATCTTGAAGCCGCCAACAGTTATCTATAACTAACTTCTCGAGCACAGGGAATGATGTATCTGAGGAGAACCATTCTGTCATAGTTACCACTACTCTGCTTCCATCTTCACCATGTGGGAAAGATAATCGCAACTCTTCCCATGCCTTAGCTTCCCATATATCGTCTAACACGATGAGGTATCTCTTGCGCATTAGACTCTTTCGCAACTCGTGAGGTATGTCTTCATCTCTTATACCATCCGTACTGCCTATGACTTGTTTAAGAATCTCAGAAAAAACCTTCGTCGAGCTATATTCTTTTGAAATAGAGCACCATGCTCTAACGTCAAAGTGTCTATTATCAATAAGATGATTAAACACCTTTCTAGCCAAAGTTGTTTTGCCGAGTCCTGGCATTCCAACGATCGAGATAATGTCTAGTTCCTTTGTTCCTCCAGTCAATTGTTGAATTATGTTTTTTGCATCATCCTCAAAACCAACTACTTCCTCTTCCATTGATGGAAGACTGTGTTTGGGTGGAAGTCGTGGCATGAGCAAGAGATCTTTCACCACCTTGAATGCTCTCCATGTCAATTAGCTTTGTCTCTCTTCGGCTGCTAGAAATAAATATTACTATGTTAGATCGATTGGCAAAGAGTAGTCGCGTAATGTTCAAATTAAATTTTATGAAGTACCTTTTCTTCTTGATTCCCCTGTTGTCCTTGTACAGAAACTTATTTTTTCCCCCTTCCCTGTTGAAAGACATTCTATTCTTCACGTCCAATTAAAATAAGACCAATGTGGATTAGCAAAATTGGATAACAGTTTAATTCTTCGTTTGCAAAGTCCCACGATACGAACGTGAACTATGAGGGGAGGATGATGAGTTTGAAGCAGAAGCAAAGTGAAATCTGGAGCAAAGTATCAGATTTAGATGACTTCAAGCTGGATTGAGCGGGATGCCAACCTAACCTCCAAAAACAATTTGAAATTGGTTTCAAATTAACAAGGTGTTTTCACATATTGCATAACATATGGTCTGGTCATATTACAAGTATCCTTTTGTTATATGACATTTATTCATGAAGATTAAAAAAAATAATGCAGGAAATCATAACAAAACATATGAATCTTTGTTAGGCCATTCTCGAAAATTATTTCCTCGAAAATTAGTTGGTCTATTGCTCATTAATTGGGGTGAAAGTCTTAACCTTATGTATAATCCTTTTGGATTAATAATCTACAATAGCATCCTACTAAAGATAGTAACCTGTATCACTCTATAAATCACCACCAGTTTTGCGATAATTATAGTAACATTTTTTTAACTGAGCTAGTAATAGTAGACTCAATAAATAAAAAAATGTCATTTCACTCTCTTAATATAGGCTGAGAACCCTCCAACCTTGTACCACATCTATCTATCTATATTATATCAAAACCACGAGGCCATTTATTGAAATGTCGTTCATTTTTTTACCGATTTAAAACAGGATTTACACTGGACAAATAATAACTCATGATATTTATGGGTAATTATTCTTAATATTTACGAATAATTATTTATTATATTCTTACTATTCAGAAATAGTCATTTAATTATTTTTTCTAATATTTAGGAACATACATTAATTTTTTCTAATATTTAAGACTTCAAAATTAACTAAAATTTTGGTTATTAAACATTCCCTATTTAAAATATGCAGAACTTTAAAATTAATTAATTAAGAAACCTTATATAAATTAATTAACGAATTTCTTTGGGCTATTATTACCTTTAGCTCGTGCAAAAAACTATTTACATCTGACAACCAAGAAAGTATATAAAATTTGTATAATCTTTTTATATAACTTACATAATGTATATTTATACAAAAAAATTTCATACATCTTTTTGACTGTTATTTTTATAGTGGCTATATATACAGTGTCATTTTTCCAATTTCTTTTCATTTTTATGCCTATAGTACTACTGTTTAAGGCCTCATTAGAAACTATAAGGATAAAATTCAAGTTAGCTCTCTAGATCGGGTGGGGGTTTCATGGAAAGAAAATCATTGGCAAAGCATAAACATCAGTCAAAAAGATTAATTGTTCTGAATTTATGGATTTGGAGTAGAGAAACTGAAGTAAAGGAGCTAGGAATTGGAAAGAAGATGTGTAAAGGAGAAACTGAAGTAAAGGAGCTAGGAATTGGAAAGAAGATGTGTAAAGGAGAAACTGAAGTAAATTAACGAGTGATGATTCATAGTTGTGGCTAGGATTATTAAATTTAATTAATAAACAATTATGTTTATATTAATCAATCCTAGCCTAACCCACCAATCAGGAAGGTGGCTATAAAAAATATTTAAAAAATCCTTAAATATACTTTTGAATTTCAAACTTATGTTCAGACCTAACTAATGTTTGGGGCAGGATTAAAATAGTTTCTTAAATATACTTTTGAATATTTTGGTTATTTGAAAATTAGCGTTTGGTCATAGATGTCAAATTTATTTTGAAAAATTTAATTTGGGTGAAGTTTGATTTGAAGATGAAATTGTGTTTGGACATGTTATTTGAGAACATATTTGAGAACATATTTCATGTGTATGGAGAAGAAAATGTGAAGTTTGGCCCCAATTCAGCTTTTTTGAGGAATTTGAGATTTGAAATTTTATTTCAAAATAAATTTCAAATGTATGCTCAAATTTATGGCCAAATATTAATTTGAAAATAAATTTCAAATTAAACTTCAAATTATCTATGGCCAAACGGGGAAGTGAGTACTTTTGGTTCATCGTAGCAAATTCTGTTACTGTATTATATTTAATGTAATCGCGGAAAAAATGATTTGACGAGAAACACCAGAAGAGTCGCGATCACATGTCTCTTTAGGAAATTCTTAATTTTTTCAAAATAATATAAGTACTACGTACACGACAATATGGATTTTTTGGTTGAAAATATCATGACTTTTAAATTGAGAGTGTTGCTATTTTTCCAAAAGGGGCACTTCACTTGGAAACTAACAATGACTAGTTTGGAGGAAAATCAACGCAACATGAGTAAACGCATAATTCATGATTTACAAAACCATATGACAACTTCAACCTATTTTAAAGGCTAGATAACTTAGATAGCACGTCAAATTTGGCACGATCTAGGATAAGTAATGAGTCTTTTGTTTTGAAGACTTGACACAATGAGGTATCTCTTGTAGGGTTGTGCATGGATCGGATCGGATCGGATCGGATCGGATTTAGCATACTTCGGATTGAAATTTCGGATTTCGAATTCCATAAATTGCAATCCGAATCCGATTGAATTATATCGGATTGGATCAGATTTTTACAATTAGGATCGGTTTGGTGATCAGATATTAGGATCGAATTGTACGTATTATTAAGGACCTTTTCTTTTATTCTTTTGTGTATTTTCCATTCCTGTTTTTCTTGATTCAGCATTTTTTTAACCTTTCCTATGGACATAAATGTAGTTACAATTCCTTAATTTCACATTATTTAACGATGAAGTAATTATATTAATGTTACTACGTTGCTTGTGCAGGCAATTTTTGCCAGTGAGCAAGGGAAGTCTATTGATGAATATGACCACCTTCCATACTTCTACTCTCGTGCCTTCGATTTGTCTTGACAATTCTATGGTGACAACGTGGGCGAAACAGTGCTCTTTGGTGATGCTGATCCCAACTCTGCAACTCACAAGTTCGGACAATATCGAAAAGGAATTCAATGAGAAAGAAGAAGTAAAGTGATGTATTTTCTACCTGGGAAGTTCAATTGGAAGTTAAGCAAGGAAACGTATTCCTTGAGCTGGGAAGTTCAATTGGAAATTGAAAAAATAAAATTAATCTTTATACTTCCCTTAATAAATTCGGATTTTGGATCGGATCGGGTTCAAACTATACAAATCCCAATCCAATCCGAAAATCCAAAATTTTAAAAAAACAAATTCGAATCCAATCCAAATATCCGAAATCCGAAATTAAAATGCACAGCCCTAATCTGTTGCACTTATAGCAAATGTGCTTTCAATATTAAGTACAAAGATCATTGTGTTTTTCGATTAACAGGATGTGTTGCACAAGTCCCGACATCGAAATTTCCGACAGTGTTAAAAAAAATGTCGGTTAGGGAATTTGTGACATGTATGTGACTTAGTATGACATTTATAAAATGTCGTCGTAGCCCTTAATTCTGGTAGAAGGGATCTCTCTAAGCCTGCAATTGTCCATAATTAGTTTCTCAAGAACGGGGAAGGATGCCTCTACTCTGTCATATAAATGTCACTGTTCCAATGTTCAGACGGACGAATGCTGCTAGGGGAGTGCAGAATAGACCAGCTGAAGACGGAAGAATGAACGTTGTCGAGCCTAGAGACCGGGAAGCTCTCAAGGTAAGTTCAAGTCGGAAACATAGCGGGAGTTCTCAAGCTTAGGAGAGGACACAGCTTCGCTGTCGTAGATAGCCAAACATTTATTTGCCAATAGAAAATGAAACTTCTCTACTATTTCTACTAGTAAAAGGAAACTAATGGAAATTATTTACTATTGAAAGTAATTCAATGAGTTACAACATTCTCCCTGCTCTGTGATTATACATATAGTGATGTTACATTATAGGCAAGGTAAACTGTAGCGAAATCGAATGTGGAAAAATCAAAGGGATGAAATCCTACACATATTAGCTTAGAGATGATGATGCAATTGCTAATCTGGCAATAATGCAGAATCAAGCAATCCACAAAGCAAAACATTTGCTCTCGCGCGTCTCTGTATCTATGTAGCTTTGGTGAAGAACAGAAATAAGAAGACGACATTAATGGTTTAGCTGGTATGGATGTCTCCTCGACCCGAAATGCCAGATAATGAAGGCTGTTGCAAAAGCTTATCTGCAACAGAGAAATTGGAGAAAATAATTATGATGAATGAAAGCAAAATAGAGAAAAACTCAAAAGATGTAACCCAAAAAAGCACAGGAAAGAGTTCGATTCTTGTTGCACGTGTATCATAATTATGAAATAACTTACCATGATTTATTGGTTCTACAAGACATGACTTTTACATCCTGTCGTCTCTTGTACTTCCTTTTTAACGTTCAGACTGCAGGCAATCAACATCAGTGTTGGGATATCCACAAAGCTAGAAGGGATCTCTCTAAGCCTGCAATTATCCATAATTAGTTTCTCAAGAACGGGGAAGGATGCCTCTATTCTGTCATATAAATGCCATAGCTACCAAATTTATTTAAGAATATATATGTAGGATGATAAACTCACACACTACATCATGAACAACGCAATATTTTATCTTCTCTCCTTTCAGAAACCATTATTACGCTTCTATTCACTACATCAATCAAGCATCTTTGACATGCTTCCTCCATGTTCACCTCTGTAAAATTTTCAGCCATCCACAATTGCATTGACGTCCTTATTTAGCAAAAATGGACACTGAAAATCTGTAGTAACATTAAATGATCATAACTTGTTTCTATTATCTTCATACTTTGTTCTTCTAATATCAACAAAGCTAGAAGGGATATCTTGAAGCAACAGTTATCTATAACTAACTTCTCGAGCACAGGGATTGATGTATCTGAAGAGAACCATTCTGTCATAGTAACAAAGTGTAGTTTCAAGATTTTGAGTGCTTGAAACTTGAAATTACTGACATCCCAATATCTGCTATATCCTCTATCCCTGGGCCTGAAGTATATCCTATTTAGTTTCAGTCTCTCAATATTTTGCAGTCTTGCAATATTTGAAACAAAATTTTCTATTTTAAATTTGAAGGAAAGATAACACAGCCACTCAATCCAATGGATGTGTAGGTCGAGAGATTGAAGTAGGAGTTGTTCAAGATTCAAGATATCAAACAAATTCAACACCCAAATAAGTCTAAAGTTATCAAGTAAAGAGAAAAGACTTACATGATCCCATGGACAGAATGTTGGATGAGCAATGAAGTCGTTGGAATCTTATCCAATGAATATACATACTGCACCAATGCATAACTGAGGTTCCTTTGAATCTAGGTTGAGTCAATTGACAAGTGTAATCATAGGTTAATGTAGAAACTTTATGTACCAGACTGCCCTTTTTTTGTATTTGGATGAACTGCCCTTTCTAATAATTCCATACTCAAAATCATTCTGTGAATAGATTAAACAAACAAAAACGGCTATTCTCCTCACATACACCCCCCATAAAAAGAAACTACTTCAGAATAAGCAGAATTTAAAATTTCACATAACATAATTGTTAAATATTAGTAAATCATGATCTTTTATTCCATAAGGCCTATTTTTAAATTCAACTTGAACTTGGAGAGAGTCACATCCAGTCATATCTTCTACTTCTTTTTTGATGTTCAGTGCTGAATCCTCAACTGACTTCATGCAGCCACTCAATCTGATCAACTTCAGTGTTTGGATATCTGCGAAGCTAGACGGTATCTCTTGAAGCTTCTCACAACGACGTATAACCAATTTCTCAAGCACGGGGAAGGACGCCTCTGAGGAACGCCATTCATCCATATAAACACCCCTTAAATTCAAATATTTGAGTGCTGGGAACTTGTAATCACCCACATCCCAACATCTGATATTTTCATCCTGGAAGAGTATTCGACGTAGTTTGAGTCTCTCAAGATTTCGCAGTCTTGCAATATTTGAAACAACTTTTTCTGTTACGATAATGCTGTAAAGAGACAAATCCTTCAGATTTGAGGGGAAAACAAGACAGTAATCGCCCCTTCCGATTCCATAGAACTGTGTCCCTGCGTTACTATTGTCTGAGAATCCCACTTCGAGAGATTGAAGTGGGAGTTCTTCAAGATTCGGCATATCAAATTCTGGTGTGGGGAACTTATTATATTTAGGTACAAACGGTTCAACAATGAGGAGCTTGAGTTGTTCAATATTTGGAAATCTCCACCAGAACTCCGGAGTCATATCAGCCAAATATATACAGCATTTCCCGAAAGACTTCAAGTTAGGTAACACAGTTTGTGAAGATTCTTCGAAAATTGCCCGATCATTGTTTTCCCATGCGAATTTAATTTCCTTGATATCCACATGCCTTAGCTTCTGCATTTTCCAAAGACCAGCAGGGGATATCTTACTTCCTAATTCAATAGGTTGCCACCCCACCCGCAAAGTTTGTAGATCGAGTAGGTGATCTACCCACTGGAAACGAAATTCTTGGGTATGAATTGCAAGATACCTCAAGTGAGTCACTGCTTGCATTGCCCTAGCCCAAGAACTTCCACTCAAGTAGACATTCAACAAATCCAACACCCGAATATGTCTAATGCAATCAAGTAAATGGACATGATTTGTCAAACTCAGGTTCCATTTATAGAGTTTTGGATGAGCAATGAACTCAAGATATCTACCATGACATTGAGCAAATGATCCTACTTCACTAAACTCCGCCAACATTGGAATTTTATCCAATGAATATTCATGCTCCACCAACTGCTTGGCCAGATCGTCATGAACATACATGCATAACCGAGGTTCCTTTGCACCTAAAGATTGGTCTGGATTATACGGGATTATGAGCTGCATAAACTTTTCTTTTGCAATTTTTCTCAAGCAAAACTCACGCACTACATCATGAAGAGTGCAGTACTTTATCTCACCATTATCTCTCCTTTTAGAAACCATCACAAGGCTTTTGCTCGCTAGATCATTCAAGAAATTTGTAGATGCTTCCTCCAAGTTATCTGTGTCCGAATTCTGTACAAAATTTTCAGCTATCCACAACTTAAGTAAAATAGAAATTGGAAAATTGTAGTCTTCTGGAAACAATCCCATGTAAAGAAGGCAAGCCTTTAAGTGATCTTCCAGATGGTTGTAACTTGATTCTATTATCTTCATGCTTTGATCTTCTAAAGCATGGGAACTTAAATCATTTGCGACCTTAAACCACAAAGAGGCTTGCCTTTTCTTTGAAATAATCCCAGCAATCAAGACAATCACAAGTGGTAATCCTTTACAGTTTTTGGCAACTCGCAATCCTGCTTTGAGTAGCTTTTGTGGACAAATTTCTCCTTGAAAAATTTTCTTCTGGAGTAATTCCCAGCTCTCATCCTCTGTGAGAAGTCGAAGAAAATATGGATCGCTGTGGAGCTTAAGCTGCCTAACCACTTGTTCATCTCGAGTTGTTACCACTACTCTGCTTCCATCTTCACCATGTGGGAAAGATAATCGCAACTCTTCCCATGCCTTAACTTCCCATATATCGTCTAACACGATGAGGTATCTCTTGCGCATTAGACTCTTTCGCAACTCGTGAGGTATGTCTCCATCTCTTATACCATTCATACTGCCTACAACTTGTTTAAGAATCTCAGAGAACACCTTCATCGAGCTATATTCTTTTGAAATAGAGCACCATGCTCTAACATCAAAGTGTCTATTATCAATAAAATGATTAAACACCTTTCTAGCCAAAGTGGTTTTGCCGAGTCCTGGCATTCCAACGATCGAGATAATGTCTAGTTCCTTTGTTCCTCCAGTCAATTGTTGAATTATGTTTTTTGCATCATCCTCAAAACCAACTACTTCCTCTTCCATTGATGGAAGACTGTGTTGGGTGGAAGTTGTGGCATGAGCAAGAGATCTTTCACCACCTTGAATGCTCTCCATGTCAATTAGCTTTGTCTCTCTTCGGCTGCTAGAAATAAAATATTACTCCACTATGTTAGATCGATTGGCAAAGAGTAGTCGCGTAATGTTCAAATTAAATTTTATGAAGTACCTTTTCTTCTTGATTCCCCTGTTGTCCCTGTACAGAAACTAATTCTTTCCCCCTTCCCTGTTGAAAGACATTCTATTCTTCACGTCCAATTAAAATAAGACCAACGTGGATTAGCAAAATTGGATAACAGTTAATTCTTCGTTTGCAAAGTCCCACAATACGAACGTGAACTATGAGGGGAGGATGATGAGTTTGAAGCAGAAGCAAAGTGAAATCTGGAGCAGAGTATCAGATTTAGATGACTTCAAGCTGGATTGAGCGGGATTCCAACCTAACCTCCAAAAACAATTTGAAAATGGTTTCAAATTAACAAGGTGTTTTCACATATGCATAACATATGGTCTGGTCATATTACAAGTATTCATGAAGATTAAAAAAATATAATACAGGAAATCATAACAAAACATATGAATCTTTGTTAGGCCATTCTCTTTTATTCAAATTGTAATTGATCAACTGAAGATTATTTCCTCGAAAATTAGTTGGTCTATTGCTCATTAATTGGGGTGAAAGCCCTAACCTTATGTATAATCCTTTTGGATTAATAATCTACAATAGCATCCTACTAAAGATAGTAACCTGTATCACTCTATAAATCACCACTACCTTTGCGATAATTATAGTAACATTTTTTTAACTGAGCTAGCAATAGTAGACTCAATAAATAAAAAAATGTCATTTCACTCTCTTAATATAGGTTGAGAACCCTCCAACTTTGTATCACATCTATCTATCTATATTATATCAAAACCACGAGGCCATTTATTGAAATGTCGTTCATTTTTTTACCGATTTAAAACAGGATTTACACCTGACAAAGAATAACTCATGATATTTATGGGTAATTATTCTTAATATTTACGAATAATTATTTATTATATTCTTACTATTCAGAAATAGTCATTTAATTATTTTTTCTAATATTTAGGAACATACATTTAATTTTTTTCTAATATTTAAGACTTCAAAATTAACTAAAATTTTGGTTATTAAATATTTCCTATTTAAAATATGCAGAACATAAAAATTAATTGATTAAGAAACCTTATATAAATTAATTAACGAATTTCTTTGGGCTATTATTACCTTTAGCTCGTGCCAAAAACTATTTACATCTGACAACCAAGAAAGTATATAAAATTTGTATAATTTTTTTATATAACTTACATAACGTATATTTATACAAACAAATTTTATACATGTTTTCCACTATTATTTTTATAGAGGCTATACAGTGTCATTTTTCCAATTTCTTTTCATTTTTATGCCTATAGTACTACTGTTTAAGGCCTCATTAGAAACTATAAGGATAAAATTAAAGTTAGCTCTCTAGATCGGGTGGGGGTTTCATGGAAAGAAAATCATTAGCAAAGCATAAACATCAGACTAATAAAGATTTTAAAAAGAATAAAATCATTACAATAAATTTAAAGAAAATAGGCTCAAGAAATAGGTCAGACTTAAAAGATTTTAACCACAGAAAATCTCACCTTGCACTAAGAAAAGCCGCTGCGGAAAAGATTAACTGTTCTGAATTTATGGTTTTGGAGTAGAGAAACTGAAGTAAAGGAGCTAGGAATTGGAAAGAAGATGTGTAAAGGAGAAACTGAAGTAAATTAACGAGTGATGATTCATAGTTGTGGTTGGGATTATTAAATTTAATTAATAAACAATTATGTTTATATTAATCAATCCTAGTCTAACCCAGCAATCAGGAAGGTGGCTATAAAAAATATTAAAAAATCCTTAAATATACTTTTGAATTTCAAACTTATGTTCAGACCTAACTAAAATAATAGTTTCTTAAATATACTTTTGTTAGTTATAAATTTACAGCATAAAGCAATAGATAGGGGTCCCAAAGTTTATTCCTTTTGTCTCATAAAGTGTTTAATAGTGGTCCAGAGAATATTCAAAAGTATACACTTGTTCTTTAAAATATTCTGATAATATCTAGAACGGTGGTGTAAGCATTTAAATTTTATCGAATTTAAATCGATAAAATAATTTGGGCTATATTTTAAATTCAAGATATATTGGTCCAAATAAATATTATGGGCTATTATATAAATGAATTCATTATATAAGTCCAATACATATGGGTTAAATAAATAAATCTTAATCCATTGGGCTAGTCCATTTTATTGGGCTAAAGTGATGAGCCCACTTTATTAAGCCCAAAATGCCATTTTTTTTTCTAGAGGCCCAGTTTGGTGCCACGTGTCAAATGACGTGGCATGTCAAGTCAAACGGAAGAGCCAATGGGATCATGTCACGTGTCAAAATGACAAGGCATGTCCAGTCACACTAAAAGGCCAATGAAATCACGCCACGTGTACAAGTGACATGTTCTGGCCAATCAAATGCGAGCATGTCACACTTCAATTTGA